AATTATATTGTTATAATTCTGGACAAAAATGATTCAACTACAGCCCCACAGCACAAAATTGCAGGTAAGTTTTTCAGGTGATAGTGCAATTGGAACATTTCCTTATTTACATGACATTCTTTTTCCTATTCCTATGACGTTTCTAGGTCTTCTGCATTGAACCAGATGTGAACTTAAAATCACATTGGCAAAATTTCAGCAAGTGCTATAAATTCCCTCAAAACATGACCTTGTCTTGGGAATAAGATACCCATGACTTTGTATCACTCTGTGTGCATGTTATTACATTAAGCTAGAGTCTAAAGTTGCAATGTTATATTGTTGATGGCCTAAAGACTTCTGGCAAAGTTGTACATTCCATTGCAAAATTGGCGAAGTGGTCATGTCCTACATACAATTTAGAAGGTGAATGATTCTTACACAATAATTTTCATGCATTTCGTTGATTTTCATCTGTAACAGGTTTCGCTCATTACCATTTCACAATTTCGTCAATGCATTACCAGAGGTGCTGAAGCATAGCAGTTGCTAAGCAAATCAAGACTGCACTTTAAAATGTCCCTTGTGTCATAGTTATACACAAGTCTTTAACATGTTTAAAATTCTTTTAGTTTAATATTAAAATTAAACTTCATTAACACATCAGAGCTCTGTGCTTCTTGTTAGTTTCCATTTCCTTTTGAAACAGGCCTGTAAAGTTTTCCAAATAAGTTCATTTCCAATATTTTCTACATTTATTTCAGATTTCCAGCATCCGCAGTAAAACATTAATGCCATAGTCCCATAGGGCTGCTCTCTCATTACAGAAAGAGATGATTGGTAATGGTTTAACCTGAGAGTCGCCATGCCTCAGACGAGGGGAAAGTTTGAGAAGGAGAGTCCTTCATGGTAACCTCAGCTGTTGTGGGAAATTGGCACGCACTGTTGGCATCACTCGCTTTTGATTTTGTCAATGTTGGAAGGCACATTTTGTGAAATGCTCGGTTAAGGAACATAGTAGTTCAGGAAAGGATCTGGTAAATATTTCAGATTCGCAGGAACAGGTAACTGAACATAGTGTAAACATCTGGACTATGTAAAACGTCAAATCTTTGTGTCCGGTGCTCAAGAATCACAAGTCATGGAAATTTAGTCAAGGGGTCTAATTAATATTATCAAACTGCCAATTATGTGGTTCTGATCCATCTTGCAGTGTTAACAAAAACATTTTTAAATAGAAGTGGGTTTTTATAAAATTAAGGGGGAGGGGTGGAATTGCTGAGGGACTCAGGCTTCTGATGGAGTTCAATCAGACTGCACAATTACTTTGTAAGTTGTTGATGCTCCTTCACTTATCCTGTGGATAACACTGCATGAGCTTTCTTTCATGTAGTTACAGAGGAAGTGGACTGTACATTCCTGAGGAATTACTCATCTATGTCACAAAGCAGACTAAATGTGGATATGCTGGGGTTGGATGACAAACTCTAAGAAACAGAACTAAACCGTTGTGGGTTTATTTGCACATTTAGGATGGACCAGTTAAGGTTTAGTCACATCCTGCCCATCTAATGAAGCGCACATTACAATGAAGATAAATGTACTTGGTCAGCTTATATCCCTCTGCATTACACCATGTTGTAAATGAAATAAAACCAAAATCCTGTAGATGCTGGAAATCCAAAGCAAAAACAGAAAATGCTGGAGAAAATCAGGTCTGGAGATAAAAATAAAGTTGACATTTTGAGTCCGATATGACTTCCTCAGAAATGAAAGGGGCTGGAAAATGGTTGTTTTTAAATTGTTGACAAAGGAGGAGGAGGAGTGAGTTGAACAGATGGCAAGGTGCCCAAAGCAAAAGACAAAGAGAATACTAATGTTGTAAAGGAGTAATAAAGATGTAAAGTAGTTGTAATTTTTTAATTTGCAAAATATATACTTTATTCATAAACTATTTACAAGGATATTATAAACTAATTAATATCATGTTGAACTGTTGCAGCAATAAACATAGTTTAAACCTTTTTATGTTCCCTCCTCAATTTAGCTTTCTAAAGGTAGTGAGTCATCCTGACGTATAACTACAATGCCACGAGTACAGTGATGATACCTCAAAGAAGTCACTGTTTGTCACATGTGAGCCTACAGCATAACTTTCAATGGGTTATTTTATAATGGGATTCATGACAGCTGAATTAATTCTGTTCCCAAGTTCATTCCTGTGTTTGGCTCCTGTCTGCACAAAGTGGTCCTCATGTGAACCCATCACCAGTCGTCTCTCCTTAATGAGAGACCAGCCCTCTGGTCTGGTAGGACTATGATGACTCTACTTTTACAGAACAGCACGTCCATTAGGAATGACTTGATAGCAAATTAGGAGAGGAATCCCTTACTTCTCCTCCCTATCTCATGAAGGCAGGATTAGGTGCCCTTTCTCTCAGCTCATCTAAGACTGGTTGACTCAGCCAAGCCAGCAGTTGAACCTGTAGAGTGTCAACAAATTATTTTCAAATATTTTCAGAAAATATCATATTTTCTTATTTCTGAAACACTGTAGCTTATCTTGGATGCAGGATCTGCAATACTGAAGTGGTGTCAACCAATTCAGGAGTCTTTTATCACAAGTTAATAAACATATTTGAAATGCAGAGGTAAAATTTCCTCTTTTTACCATTTTTATGTGTAGATTGAAGATTTCACTTAAAAAAAAGAAAGAAATCTTCCCTCTCACCTGGTGGTCAGGCTGATCCTAAACACTGCTATTTTCCTGGGATGAACAAATGGTAGAAGTTGATTAAGTCTGCTACTCTGTCTTTGATTGTTTGTTTTACTCAACTTCTTCAGAATATGGAATTATTGCTGGGAGGAATCGGTTCGTTTCTAGGTACAACATCTGACACAAGCAATCAGAAATCAAATCTCAAGGAAACCTATAAAATTCTCACAGGACTAGGCGGGGTAAATGCAAGGTGTTCCAATGACCAGGGAGTCAATCTGAGGAGTCACAGTCTAAGGATATGGGGAGGCCATTTAGGATTGAGATGAGAAGAAATTTTTTCACCTAGAGTGTGACGGGGCTGTGGAACTCTCTGCCCCAGAAAGCGGTTAAGGCCAAAACATTGAATGTTTTCAAGAAGAAGCTAGATATAGTTCTTAGGACTAAAGGGATCGAAGAACATGAGGAGAAAGCAGGAGAAAGGTAGAGAGTTGGATGATCAGCCATGATCGTATTGAATAGCAGAGCAAAAGGCCAATTGGGGATTTTCAGTAAGCATAGTGTTTGCTTCGCAACTACTTAGCACACCGGAATATGTGGATTCAGTCTGTAATCTATTGTGCAACCAAGGACACCATTCCCCAGAAACTTCCACCCTACGATTTGCGTGTATGCTGCACCATCTTACCCCAGACAATGGACCAAATAAGTAAGCTGCCTCTTTTCTATATGGACCCTGTTAATGGTAATGGAAGGGTTACATGGATTCATCAATTACATCAAAACATTATTAAAAACATTATTACACACTTTTTAAGGTCTTAGCGAAAATTCGTAGCTTGGGTTGTGGATGCAGTTGTTCGTTTTCTCGCCGAGGTGGTTGTTCCGTGGTGTGCAGATGTTTCGTTCCCATTCTAGGCAACATCATCAGTGCGATCTCTAATCGAAGTGTTGGTGTTCTGCTCCGTTCCGAACTTTATACAATCCTCTGGTGTAGTGGGTCTTATCACTTCTGGTTCTGTTTTTCAGCAGAGGTCTGTATACGGGGTCTATTTCTATGTGTGTGTTAATGGAGTCCCGTGTTGAGAACCAGGCCTCCAGAGATTCCCTTGCTTGTTGTTCGCTTGTCCCAGTATAGTCACTTCGTCCCAGTCAAACTGATGGTCCTCATTGTCTGGATGTATCATTATAAATGAATATTAGTTGTGTCTTTTTATTGCCAGCTGGTGTTCGTGTATCCTGGTCGTCGGTTTTTCTCCCAGTTTGTCCAATGTGATGTCTATTGCACTCGCTGCATGGTATTCTGTATATCATGTTAATCCTGTTGGTATGGGGTCTTTAATCTTTGATTGCACACAAACACAGGTTTGTGTGCAATCATGATCTTATGCAGTCCAAAGAATCTGCTTGTCATTTCTGATATATTTTTGATGTAGGGTAGTGTCACTAGTGTCTTCTGTTGTACCATGTCCTCTGACTGCCATTTGTTTGGTATGCATCGGCTGACGAAATTTCTTGGGTATCCGTTGTCAGTAAATACTTTGTGCAGATGTTCCTCTTCCATTGTCCAAAGTTCTGGGATGTTGCAATGTGATATGGCTCATTTAAATAGTGTTTTAATGCAGCTCTGTTTGTGTATGGTGGGGTGGTTGCTATTGAAGTTAAAGATCTGGTCCGTTTGTGTGGCCTTCCTGTACACTCGGGTCTGGAATTCGCCGTTAGTCTGTCTCTCTACCATTTAAGTCCAAGAATGGGAGCTGTTTGCTGTTTTCTTCTTCTCTAGTGAATTTTATGCTTGCGAAGATATTGTTAACAAGTTGGTGGGTTTTTTTCTACTTTTGTGCATTTCATTGTACCGAACGTGTTGACCACATATCTTATCTACAGTTTCGGTTGGATTATAGGAAGGGCTGTGTGTTCCAGTCTTTGCATCACTGCTTCCGCAATGAGACCTGAGATGGGTGATCCCATCAGTGTGTTGTTGATTTGTTTGTATATCTGTCCGTTGAATGTGAAGTGTGTTGTGAGGCATAAATCTAGTAGTTTCAGTAAGCTGTCCTTGCTGATGTTGTTGCCGGTGTTCAGGGTCAGTGCTCCCGGTCCTTCTAGTAGTACGGCTAGTCTCTATCTTGCTAATGTCATGTCAATGGATGTAAATGGTGCTGTAACACCGAAGGAGATTATAATTTTGTTCTAGTCAACTTCTGTGTCCCTGAGTTGTGTGAGAAATTCTTGGGCCAAATGGATTGAGTGTGAGGATCTGCTAATCAGAAATTTAAGTCTCTGTTGTAATTCCCTTGCTAGCTTATGTGTGGGTGTGCCTGGTAAGGAGACTTTTGGTATGAGTGGGATCGTGTACCTTGGGGAGTCCGTAGAAGCTGGGGGTGTTTGAGCCATCAGGTTTCATTCTGGTGCTAGTGATCTCTCTAGCAAGCTAACAACAGGCATGCAAAGGAATTTCTGGATGCATGTTTCTCAACACGGGACGCCATTAACAAACACATAGAAATACAAATCGCTGCTGAAAAAACAGAAGCGGAAGTGAAAAGACACACAACACAGAGGATTGTATAAATTGGGAACGGAGCAGAAAACCAACGTATCGATTAGAGGTTGCACTGATGATGTTGTCTGGAACAGTAACAAAACATCTACACATCACGGAACAACTGGCTCGGTGAGCAAACTAACAACTGTATAATCACACACAGTGTGCTCGTATTCTGCTGATTCATGTACATTTTTATTTGATATGGATACCGTAAAACCTTCTTAAATTTAACCATAGATAATTTTAAGATTAACATTGTTGTAAGTCTGAGAAGAATTTCCAAGAGTGAAAAATGTGTATCGTTGTCTTTGCAGGTGATATTCATAAATGTCCATCGAAGAGCCTTTAAAAACTGCAGAAGTTTTTAAAAACAAAAATTAAAAATGATGCTCTGGGAGGGACGTAGGCCATTTCTTTAGCATATTTTAAAAAAAGATTCACATTCATTCTTTTCTTCTCTAGTTCACAGATGTTGGAAAACCGCCAAGACTAGGAGAAAGTGCTTTTGCAGAGGAGATAATATTAGCATCAATCCATCTAGAATTTTGGGAAGTAGGAACTTACATACAGGATGTTCACATTATCCCTTTTACCCAGTTCCAGTAGTATCCATCTATAATTAGTCACTGGAATAGAAGAGGAGTGGAAACACACCAGTGGCTCATTTTTCTTGGGATTGAAAAACAGAAGAAATTAAGTTATGTGCTGATATTACACTGTGATAAAATGAAAACAGATCTGCTTGCTGGGTTACACTGGTTTCCTTGTAAGGGTCTCCATTTATCAGTCGAGAGCCGATGTTGGGGAGGTCCTCACATTTACGAGGAGCACACATTGAAACACAATTTTAAAAAGAGGCAGTTAAGACCAGAATGATTAAGACATCTGCACATTATTTTAAAATGTACAGGTTTGTTAAGCGTACTTCACTAAATCTTCACTAAAGTAATGGAATCAAATACAGGGATTCAATCATCATTTCTACAAGCAGACTCTGAGCTGACTTACCAACTCAGTTGCCAGATGTTCTTGCTCGCCTGGTATCGTTCCATAGTTGGGGATGTAGGCTTGTTCAAAAAGCTCCTCATCTCCTAACGAATAAAACAAAGGCAGCATATTAATGAAGTCCTCAATCCTACTGATAGTTAATCTACCTTGCCAGCTCAAGAAATTAACTAAATGTTATAATTATTCAACGTATGCATTTACTTACGGATAAATAGTATTTGAAACTACTACAAGCTCATGTGGAACCATACACAAATAATGGTGTGATCAACGTTAACTTGATCAGCAAGCTTCACATGGTCCGGAAGGAGAGATCATATCCAGAGTGAAACACAGCTTGAGTGAGCATATTGTTCAGGGAATTTGGAGGCAGTGTGGGATTTCGGTGTAGAGGGGAAGGGATGCTTTTCGCATGTTCTTTAGGCTCATAATTTTAAAGCCCAGGATCGGGGGCCGAGCACAAAAGAGTGACATCACAGGTAAACCGCAAGTCCATTGGTTGGTTATTGCTACTAATCTGACCATACATTATAGGTTACTTTCAGATTGAAGGTAAATAGGGGAATTTTACAGGCTACAAACTAAAAGACCAGTACAAAATTTTTAAACATCAAATTAAGAACCAAGTAATTAATATCGAGATGCCAGGCCAGGCGATGTGCTGTAACTGCACAGTGTGGGAGCTGGTGGACACCATTGTGGTTCATAGTGACCACATCTGTGGCAAGTGTTGGTTGCTTAAGGAACTCTGGCTTAGAGCTGATGAGCTGCAGTCTGAGCTTTGAACATTGTGACTCATCAAGGACAGGGAGAATTACCTGGACACTGTATTTCAAGAGGTAGTCAAATCCTTAGATTAGCTACAAAAACAAAGTTGCTGGAAAAGCTCAGCAGGTCTGGCAGCATCTGTGACGAAAAAGAAAGAGTTAACGTTTTGGCTCCAGTGACCTTTCCTCAGTTCTGACCCGAAACGCTAACTCTTTTATTTTTCTTCACAGATGCTGCCAGACCTGCTGAGCTTTTCCAGCAACTTCTGTTTTTGTTCCTGATTTACAGCATCCGCAGTTCTTTCAGTTTTCCTTAGATTAACTACCTTGAATTTGGTTAGTGGCCAGGGTTAGGGGGGTATAATGACGAGCGAAGCAGGTAGGAGGGTCCAGGAGGTAGTGCTAAAAGAGCCTCAGCCCTTGAGTTAGTCTAACAAGTTTGAGATTCTTGCTCTCTTTGGATGAATACGTAAATAGGAAGGGAGTAGAGAGATATGGATTCAGTAAGTGAAGACAGTTTTAGTATGGAAGGGCAAAATGTGTCGACACAGGCTCGGAGGCCGAAGGATCAGTTCCCGCACTGTACTGTTTTGTGCTCTTTGGATGAGACTGGGGGCTGTAAGGAGGGTGTACAAACTGACCACACCATCTGTGATACAAGGTGCCATTCAAGAGGGGGGAGTAAAGAGAAATGTAGTTTTAATTGAGGATAGTACAGTCAGGGTAATGGACACTGTTCACTGTGGCGAAGATTGAGAGTCCCAAAGGCTGTGTTGCCTGCCTGGTGTCCAGGTTCAGGACATCGCAACTGGGCTGCAGTGGAACTTGGAGTGGGAGGGGAAAAGATCCAATTGTCGTGTTCCATGGAAGTACCAACGAGAAATGTAGAAACAGTAAAGAGGCTTTGTTGAGGAAATATAAGCAGCTAGGGGCTAAATTAAAATGCAGAATTGAGAAGATAATTATTTCTGAATTACTACCTGAGCCACGAGCTAACTGACACAGGGACAACAAGATAAAAGAGGTAAATGTGTGGCTCAAAGACTGGCGTGGGAGATATGGTTTGAATTCATGTGACATGAGCACCAGTACTAGGGAAGGAGGGAGCTGTTCCAATGGGATAGGCTCCACCTGAATCATGCCAGGACTAGAGTCCTAGAGAATCACATAACTCGGGCTATGAATAGGGTTTTAAAGTAAATAATGGGACGGTGGTTCAGTTGCATGGAAAATATTAAAGGGGGGGGTGCTCAGCAGAGGTTATTAAATTTTTCAGAACAAGTAATATGGCACAGAGAATGGAAAGGCTCAGAAATTTAACTTCAGGCACAGCCAATAAGGTGACAACTATAAGAAAAGGGGGTCAGTCAATGCAGGACTGAGAGTTATGTACTTAACTGCATGCAATATATGAAACAAGGTAAATGAGCTTGCAATGCAGATGTTATGGGTATCACGGAGACATGGCTGGGAACTAAATATCCAAGGATACACATTCTATTGAAAGGACAGACAGATGGGAAAAAGTGGCGTGGATGCCTTGTTAGTAAGAAGCGAAAATAAATCAATAACAAAAAATTGATATAGAGTCAAAAGGCATAGAATCTGTGTGGGTAAAGTTGAGGAATGGCAAATAAAAAAGACCCTGATCGGAGTTGTGTACCAGGCCTCCTAGCAATAGACTGTTAGAGTGGGGAATAAAATAAATCAGGAGACAGAAAGGAATGTAAAAAAGGCACTATTATAATAAACATGGGGGAACTTCAATATGCACGTGAACTGAGAAAATCAGGCTGGTAGTGCATCTCAAGGAAAGGAATTTGTGGAATGTCTACGAGATGGCTTGTTGGTGTAGCTTGTGGTAGACCCCACTAGGGAACAGACAATTCTGGATCTGGTGATATGTGATGAGGCAGACTTGATTAGGGAGTTTAAGGTGAAGGAACCCTAAGGGGGCAGTGACCATAAAAATGATAGAAATCACCCTGCAGTTGGAGAGGAGAAGCTGAAATCAGATGTAACGGTATAATAATTGAGTACAAGTAACTTCAAAGACACGAGGGAGGAACTGGCCGGGGTGATTGGAAGGGGAGCCTGGAAGGGAAGAGAATGGAGCAGCAATGGCAGGAGTTTATATGAATGATTTGAAAAGGAGTTTAGGAGGCATGATTAGTCAGTTTGTGGATGACACCAAAATTGGTGGTATAGTTGACAGTGAAGGTTGCCTAGGTACAAAGGGATCTTGATTAACTGGACCAAGGGGCTGTGGAGTAGCAGATGGAGTTTAATTTGGATAAATGCGAGGTATTGCACTTGGTAAAACAAACAAGGGCAGGACTTATACAGTTAATGGTAGGGCTGTGGGTAGTGTTGTCAAACAGAGAAACCTAGGAGTTCAGGTATATGGATCTTTGAAAGTTGCATCACAGGTAGACAGGGTGGTTAAGAAGGTGTTTAGCTCGCTTGCCTTCATTGCTCAGACAACTGAGTATAAGAATTGGGACATGATGTTGAGGCTGTACAGGAGTTTGGTGAGGCCACTTTTGCATTACTGTGTACAATTCTGGTCACCCTGCTATAGGAAGGATATTATTAAACTGGAGAGGGTTCAGAAAAGATTTACCAGAATGTTGTTGGGAATGGAGGGTTAGTGTTATAAAAGAGGTTGAATAGGCTGAGGCTCTTTCACTGGAGCATAGCAGGTTGAGGGTTGACCTTATAGAGGTTTATAAAATCATGAGGGGCTTAGATAAGGTGAATAGCAAAGGGTTTTCTTTTCCTGGAGTGGGGGAGTTCAAAATAGAGGGCATATTTTTAAAGTGAGAGGAGAAAAATTTAAAAGGGGTCTGAGGGACAATTTTTTCACACATGGAATGAACTGCCAGTGAAAGTGATAGGTGCAGGTACAGTTACAACATTTAAAAGACATTTAGATAGATACATGAACAGAAAAGGTTTAGAGGGCTACAGGCCAAACACAGGCAAATGGAACAAGTTTAGTTTGGGAAACTTGGTCGGCATGGACTAGTTGGACTGAAGGGTCTGTTTTAGTGATGTATGACTGTATGACTCTATGCATTTCTGGGGATAATTCAGGAGGCACAGCAGAAATTCATCCCAAGGAAGAAGCAAACTAAGGGGACGATGAGACAACTGTGGCTGACAGGGGAAATCAGGCACAGCATAAAAGCAAAGGAAAAAGCATCCTATATGGTGAACATTACTGGGAAGCCAAAGGATTCGGAGGCCTTTAAAAACAAGCAGAGGATGGTTAAAAAAGCAATAAGGGGGCAGAAGGTTAAATCTGAGAGTAAGCTAGTTTATAATATTAAAGACGATTGCTAGAGTTTTTTTTAAGATATGTAAAAGGTAGGAGAGGCAAGACTGGACACTGGACCACTGGAAAACAAGGCTGGAGAAGTAGGAATGGGGAACAAAGAAATGGCACAGGAACTGAATAGGTACTTTACATCAGTTTTCACAATGAAAGATACAAGCAGCGTAATATAACTTCACAAGAGTCAGAAGGCAGAGATGAGTGTAGTGGCCATCACTAAGGAGATGGTGCTGGGGAAGGTTTAAAGGCAGATAAACCACTAGGACCAGATGGACTACACCCCAGAGTTCTGAAGGAGATAGCTGAGGAGATTGCAGAGGCATTGGTGATGATCTTTCAGGAATCTCTACAGTCAGGGAGGGTCCAAGAGGACTGGGAAATGTCTAATGTAACACCTCTGTTTAAGAAGGGTGAGAGGCATAAGATAGGAAACAATAGGCCAGTTAGCCTGACCTTGGTCTTGGTAAGATTCTGGAGTCTATTATGAAGGACGAAATACTGGAGTAGTTGGAAATGCATGGTAAAATAGGGCTGAGTCAGCACAGCTTCTTCAAGGGGAGGTCATGCCTGACAAATCTGTTAGAATTCTTTCGGCTGGGGCATCAAATATAAATGTGGTGAAGTTATGTTGCAACTGTACAAAACTTTAGGAAGGCCATCTTTGAAATATTGTGTGCAGTTTTGGTCACCACGATACCAGAAGGTCATGGATGGTTTGGAGAGGGTTCGGAGAAGGTTTACCAGGATGTTGCCTGGTCTGGAGGCTTTTAGTTATGAGGAGAGCTTGGATAAACTCAGATGGTTTTCACTGGAAAGGTGGAGGTGAAGGAGCGTCCGTGCACTCAGAGGGTGTTGGGTGCATGGAATGTACTGCCAGTGGAGGTGGTGGAAGCAGGCATGTTAGTAATGTTTAAGGTTATCTCAATGGACACGCAAATAGGAAGTGAACGGAGGGATAGAAAACACATATGGACAATAA